AGTCGTTGTTTCCTTGGTCTATAGCAAGCATACTCGCGGATAGTATTCCGTGTGCGGACCACGTTGACGCGGTTGCCGCGCTGCTCCATGTTGTCTTGCCAACCACATTCACCGTATGGGAACAACACTGGATAGAGCATTGGATCAGCGTGACGTGATCCTGCAGATAACGTCTGCATCCGGTGATGAGCGTCGGTTGGATTCCTGTTGTACATGACCAGATTGATGTCTCTCGGCGGTCGGCCATCGTCACATATCATCTGCGGTGTTTGGACCGTAACGCCGTTGGTCTCTGGCTGTGTCGGTGACGAAATGCATACTGACTGTTCTCGGTGCCACTGCGGGATCATTCCTAGCCCGGGCTTCTTCATCCGCACATAACTGACTCATATTCCTACAAATATATTTTTTAATTACAGTAAAGCACATAACATATATAGGAATAATACAGTCATATAGTAGTCTATGTCAGTCATTATGTTCAAGCGTTAGTTACATTTGTTTTGTATGATGTGCAGTACTACAGTATAATGATTATTGCACATATATTAATATGTATGTATACAGAACCACACACGATAAAGAAAGGTGAAGAAAACATTAATGAGTAATATTATATCAATATGGTGATGCCAGGTCATTATAAAGTTTATATTAAGTCTTATTGGGGTTTATTTGGGTACTATGTATCTGAATAAAATAAACGATAGTGAAGTGTAATGTAATATAGTGTGTAAAAATTATTAATTATGCCCAAGCTCAGTGGAATAATGTTAAAAATATAGATTGAAATAATTGAAATTATACAATCATACTATTGTAGTTTTCCAAGAGGTTTCCCGGTGCGAACTGCGAAGTCAACGTGAGGAATGAAATGACTCGAACATAGCTTAGATGTTCAGTTGACTTGAAACCTCTGGTTCTCGACAAATTGAACCCAAACGGCACCTAGGAATCAACAAAACCGTAAAGAAAATAAAGAAACAATTTAACTGGCCGAACTTAAAGCAGGACGTAAAAGAATATATAAAGAATTGTACAGCATGTCAAATGAATAAAAATACTAACAAACATATTCAATATCCAATGGTAATTACTACAACTAGTACGAAACCATTTGAAAAATATTTTTGGACATTGTAGGGCCTTTGGTTACAACCGGGTTAGGTAACAATTATATACTCACGATGCAATGCGATTTAACAAAGTTCAGACTAGGGGTAGCAATACCTTGTCACACCGCTAACGTGGTGGCGAAAGCGTTCGTAATAAATTTTGTCTGTATACATGGGATACCGGATGAAATTTTAATCGATCATGGCACCGAATTTATGTCAAATTGTTTCAAAGACGTATGTAGATTGTTAAAAATAAACAATATTAAGACTTCCGGATATCATCCAATGACCAATGGGGCTCTAGAACGTTCACATAAGACATTGGCAAAATATTTAAGACACTACGTAAGTAAAAGTTTAGACAATTGGGGTGAGCTTTTACCTTACGCCATGTTTGTATACAATTCTACGGAACATACGTCCACGAGGTACCAACCATACGCGTTATTATATGGCAAAAATATTAATATACCAGTTAAACTGAAAGCAAAACCGGAACCTAGGTACAATTATGATGATTACGTATACGATCTTAAACAAAAATTCCAGGAAGCTCATCAAATTGCACGGAATAGATTAATAAAGAATAAAGAAGTAAATAAACGATATTATGATAAGAAAACAAATACGGAAGAGTTAAAAATCAATGATATGATTTTATTTAAAGATCATACTCAAAGAAATAAATTAAGTCCACTTTGGAAGGGACCATACGAAGCACTAGATGTACTAGATTCAGAAAATGTAGTTATATCACGAAATCGCAAGAAAGTGACAGTACACAAAAACGATGTGAAGCTATATTACGAAGACAATAATGTGGATAACGAAGAAGTCGAATAAACACATGACGAAATTTTAATTATAAATAATTAAGTAATAATAGGATAGGATAAATGTAGTGGTATTGTTTGGGGGATCCTACGATAGAAATATCCTAAGTAGATTAGGGTTAGGACATATAGAAATACTAAATATTAGATGCTATGATTTGAATTTCGATGGGGACTTGTACATGATATTAGACAAATTTAGGGGAAAGATAACTGAAAGAATTTTCGAATTCAACGTAGGTAGAATCCAAAAAAATGGTAGACTATTGAATTTAACGGAAGCGCATAGCGGCATATGTACACATAAACACAAAATAACGTACGCTCACGACCCAAAGACGGATGTGAGATTTACCAAATGCATATTCAACAGAATGGTTAGGGAATATGGGTATCAGAATTTGGTAAAACAATTCCAACCAATATAGACAATACCACGTACATAGAACACATGACGAAATTTTAATTATAAATAATTAAGTAATAATAGGATAGGATAGCTAAAATATCATTACAAACGCAGTATAATATATATATAGTATAGATATAGTACGAAATAATTATAGTAGGTACACAAATAAAAAGAAAAGAAAGATAATAACAATAAAAGATAAAGTCGGCGTGGGATGTGCTCGCGATGGCATTTTATATAAAAAAAAAAAAAAATAAAATATATGAATATTATAGGTGGATTTCATGGATAACGATACCAATAGGAACAGTAAAAAGCCAAAAATATTCAGATTCCAGCAAGAGTTCAGTGATAAAGATCTATTATAATACAGGAAATCTGATAGGAATAGACTACTATCAATCTGACACAATAATCTTGCCACAATTTCAGTACAATGAATGTAATATGGAATCGTTACAAATTATATGTAGCACCCCATATCAAGGAAGTGTATCTCAATCATTTGTTCTTGAACATGAGTACCTATTGGAGAAATCATGTACAATACAATTAAAAAATAAGAATGGATCGTATTATGAACAATTCAAAATGGAATCGGAATATTATATGAGTTATCGTCGTATGGGAGAAATAAAAAAGGTAAACAATGACAATGTAATACAAACAAATATCACAGCAACGACAACTGGGTCAATCGAGTTCAACGCCACAGAAGTAAACAAAGATTATACAAACATAACTAGCACAGTAGGTCACACTACACAGACAGCAAGAACCGGACGTACAATATCAAATTACGAATTGAATAGTATTACGGACGAAACATCAACACGATACTGAAGTACCACAGAAAATGAAAATATAAATTACGAAACAAACCAAGGCAGTTATTATGTGAACAATAATGAAAAAGCAGTTGTGTGCATATCAGATGAACGTGTAATTAATTACCTATATATGGTATGTGGAATACTAGGAATAATAGTAATCATAATGCTGTTGATAATGACAACTATAGTGAAGCACTATAGGTTGGTCAGGAAGGAGAGATATCGATACCTCGTACGAACATTAGAATTTACGGAAATGGGTACAATACGAGCCCGCGACGACACAGCAAACTCACGACTTTGAAAAAAAAAAATTTTTTTTTAGAATAGAAATAAAATAAAATTAAAATAAATTAAGGTTAGATAGTATTAGGTAGTATACAATTAAATAATAGAAAAAAAATCTAATTATAGGGAAAAATACAAGTTATTCTGTATCAAACTGGATTTCACCATTGTGAATGGGGAACATGAAAAATGTACGATAGGCGACGGAAGTAATATACCACCATGTTTAACAAAACATATACAATTAGCGAACAGTCAACTAGCTGAACCATTCTCGGAAGACAAAATAAGAAGGATGGAACAAAGCATCGCAACATTTCTCTACGACATGTCAAAGGGCAGAGTCGGTAACCAATATTGTCAAGAATTAGTCGAACACATGGAGTATATACCGGAACCAGAAATATTGTTGGAATATGTAGATCAATATACGAACTAAGAATAGTACAGATGATATGATAGAATATAGAATAGATTTAATGATAGGATATAATAAATAGTTATAGTCTAGGGAAAAATTTTATTGTAGAATAAAATATGCATGGTAATAGATTCCTAATAGATTAGTACAAATTAGCCTAGTACAAGCTTCATTGTAGGAAAAAATACGTAGCTAGAAATTAATTTTATTAATGTAAGAATAGAAGTAGTTAACGCAATAGTAGTTTGGATTATTTTAGAATAGCAAAGCATATTATTAAAATGAAAGATCTTGTAGGGAAGAGGAGATAACGGCACTGGTGGTCACTGATTCAGATAGGACCAGACTGCTAGTACAATTCGGCGGAAATGCAAATGAAGACCCGGAGTTTGAAATGATTATGAGTGTACAGGCGGGAGGTCGTCTGGTAGTAATGGTGTTGAAAAAAAATGATAATTACATATGTGAATTACAATTATTTCGCTATACAGGGAAGAACCTATGGGGCAAGTTACGCATAACCTTAGGGCATTAATTGATGTTTACTATGGAGATCGAGGTAACATCCTTACCGGTAGGTTTCCTCAACCGGAGATAGTGGAACTATGTCAAGGGTTATGGAGTTGGTTCCGAAACCCTTACGCGTGTAATGTAACGACAACGCCATTTCGTTACCACCTGGATGTAAACCGGATACCGGGAGTAGGCGGAGCTAAGCCCGTAGGCGTAGCAAGTATAGTATACAATCAAACGGAACCACCTGCACTCATTGGAAATGAAAACGAAGAAATACTAAATAATAATATAATACTGGCAAACAGGGTTATCAACGAATTTTGGGAATTGAATAAAGGAATAAATAAGGAAGCATGGATAAATTATAAGAATATTAATAGTTATAAGTTGAATAGGTTAAGGCATAGGAATAATATCGAAAGTAATGTTAGCATTAATAATGATAATAGTAATAACAATACTAGTAGTAGGGAAATAGATAGTAATAGGACACCTAGCAATAGAAATAGAAGTATGTTACGTAGTATTAGTAATAATGATAGTATTAGGAATGTGTCAGCAAGCACTTTTAGTAGAAATATGACTGAAGCAGCTGGTCTGTGGTGGTCAGATAGTGATAGTGATAGTGGTAGTAATAATTTAAGCGACGTAGCACCTAATAGTACGATTAGTAATATGGACGAAGTAGATGATATTAGTGATAGCGATAGCGGTAATGACATTTATAGAAATATACAAATTAATAATCATGGAGAAGGTATTATGGGGATACTTAGTTTTAGGGATCATTTAGATATAATAGAAAGCATTTTTAATGAAGTAGAAGATAGGTACGAAATTAGGGATAGTGATGAAGACTGGTAGTATAAGGAAAAAAAAATAATAATTTATAGGATATAAGGAATAATTTAGATAGGTGAAAAAATTATAAAGCGTGGAGATGGTACTAATTAGTCTTAATAGTCGACAGTGCGGGAACGGTGGGAGTTGCCACCATATTCTGAACGAACAAGCAACCACCGGGAACCACTGACAATGTACTTATGGATTAATTAGTACATTTCAAACACATAACGACAGTAGCATTCAACTATGGAGCGAGGAAAAATATATATTTATGAGTAAGATTCTATATAAGTGACCAAAGCTGAGGAGACAATACGAAAATAATATATATATATTAGAAATTATTTCAAAAACATAAATTTGAGACTAATGTGTATATATATATTGTTTTAGGGTATTTCTAATAACGGCAGGACACAGTCAGATTCCATATAGAGTGGACGAATTTCGAAACCAAACATTGATGTACGTATTATGAAAATTACGGTACGGTTCGATTGACAGGAGCGACTTGGCAACTAATCACGTATTTACCATTAAAAAATTACGACCTTAGGCATGACAAATTACAAACGGAAATAAGTGTAATAACTGATCTTTGCAAGAATAGCGCGACAGCATTAGAAATGTGTTCTAGGCTAGACAATATTTTTAAAGTAATATTTCAGGAAATTTCATTGCAACGTGAAAAAAATGTACGAATCGATAGGTAGGTACGCGGAACAGCCGGAAGCGACCACATTTCCAAGTAGGAAAAGACGGGGTCTAATAAATTTCGTAGGGTCGGCTATGAAAACACTATTCGGGGTATGTGACGAGGAATGTGCGAAAAAATCAGTGGAAGAAATAGGAAAAATAGAAAAAACTAACGAACGTATATTACACATACTTAAGGATCAAACCACGGTAGTTAAATCTACTGTAAAGGGTATTAGTACCACATCTGATGAAATAAATAAATTATACAATGAATTAGTAAATAAAAAAGATATAATAAACGAAGTAATTAATAAAGCGAACACTTGGATATATACAACAAAGGGAGAAACATTAACTATCGCGTGTAGGGAAAATGCGAAACCATACATTACGAAAATACGAAAACAAGGATTAATTTGGTTAAGTTCGAAATGTAGAGCGTACGGAAACGATATTATATTAAATCCAACACAAGAAATAAAGTCAAAACACTATGTTAACTTTATACCCGAAGTAGGACAGGGAAAAATATCATTTAAGGTATCCGATAGAATAAAAAGTATGAACTTGCCTAAATTAATGATTAAACCAGATTCACATAAACTCGAAAAAATACACGAAATAGCACAATCGTTAGACCATATTCAACAACAAATTGATAATGAAATATTAACACAATCAGGACAACTATAGTATAGCCATCGTAAGAACGCTACTGGGCGGCGACCAAAATTCATCCGATCTCGCGCATTCCCACCACTAAACCTTCCCGAACGCTGGCCGCCGCCACTGTCGCCGCCATCGCTACTGTCGCTGCCACTACTGCCTATTTACGGTGGCGACTAGATGGTAGAGTGGGAGAAACTTGGGTACGAAACTGCGGAGCTCGGTCATTTGGATGCGCGAACGAGTAGCGTTCTTACGATGGCTATACTATAGAAGCGAGTGATACGCGTAATTATTTATTTTATTTAACATTGGGCTTGATAGTATTCTCGGTAATGTTAATCATTTTTATATATATAACGTATAAATGCAGGCTCACTTCATTGAGGCGACCACAATATGAAATGGTACGAGTAGGTAAAAGTAAACTCTGTGTCGTGGAAGGATGCTTTTATTTGCGGCACACTCTAACGTCACGGGTTCGATTAGCAAGATAAAAACACATACGAAAATAGAATAGAATAAAATCAATTTAGTACTTGTCTCGATTATGTAATGGAACTTAAATACAATAGTTAATTGCTTGGTCTGGACCTGTAGTAAAAAGATATAATCAAATCACAGTATAGGAATAGTAATATTAACTAGATATAAAATATAATAATATAACGATTAATGGAAAATATATATATAGGAACAAACGTAAGCGTAGGAAAAAAAAATGATGAAAAAAAAAAAAGGAAAATTTAGGATTAAATTTTTTATAGAATAATATACAAATACATAAAGGAACATATTAGCTTATATTGGACATAATTAACATGGTGATGGGAAAAGAAATACATTAATCTAATTTATTTAAAATATAATTAACATGGTAATGGAAAAAAGTATATAACACACCACTATTTTATCATATATATATATTGCACGAAAAAAAAAATATATTGTAATAGATTTTAAGAATTCATATTATATTAAAGGATTAATTTATACTATATTAACACTAAGATAAGATTATTGTTGTAAAACAAAAAAAAAAATATATTGTTAATCACATAAGATACTAACCTAGATAATAAGTAAAATATATACTATTATATTGTGGATTGTAATCTGTATTTGTCAATAACATTTAATAAATATAACCAGAAAAATATGGTGGAATGTACCATATAATTCAATAATGTAACTAAATATCTGTAACAAACATATTATGTAAACATGTAATAATTGAATGTAATGAAATAATTTGTATGTATAACTTGTAACCACGTGGAAGTGCTTGGAATAATGGAGGGATGATTGAGTTAATTTTTCTCATTTTAGACGATAAAAATCAACTTTTAAAGGGGGAGATGTAGTAAGCCAGCTACTACGGAGTAATACCAATTTCATAAAAACATAGTTATTATTATAATATACGATGAATCGGGACTCAGAATTAGGCGATTATGATAATATACGGTAGACCGGCATAACCAAAAGATTAAGGGACATAAAGGACAAAAATAAGCGGGAATTTTACGGGAAAAACTGAACACGACGAAATCCAAATATAAAAGAGTAAAAAAGATTATTTTATAATAATCATAATGTAGTAATACGTGCAGTCGTAAGTGCGTGGGCTGGAATAATGACCACACAAATCACATCCGTGAGAACCGAGATATCGTATATGTAGGCAAGGGGTACGGGGAACTTCATATATAAGGGAGCCCGAATAGACCTGTATTCAGACGTGTACTACCACCCATTAGTGCAAGCACCTTCACGCCACTTTGTAGAATATTATTTGGACTTAGAAAATTATCGAACATTATAATAAAAATTCACAATATATTACATCTGTCTTATCATTCATTATCTACCACGACTACAACATCAAGTAAAGTGTCTGCGACCTGCAACAATAATAACTTCGTGGCCACTTATCTACTATTAGTACTACGATAGTAGGTACCAAGCCACCAAGAATATTACACTACATTCAACTTCGGAGATCCAGTCCCGACGCAGCGGCTACACCACATCAGCAGCTCCACGGAGGTAACAGTTAAGGTCTGATCAACCAAGGCGACTCCGGAATCAACGAACAATTCAAGACGGGCCAGCAGACAATCAAGGAAAATGAACACAGCAGTGGCAACAGCGTTGTTGTGAGTATATTAATTAAGTGAAGATAGATAATTGAATTAAAATTGTATAGCTTGAAGTGCACGTCTCACGTTGATTCATATATGTCAGCGTTTATTTTATACTTGGTGGTGGTGTAAAATAATAGGAAAATATTCGAATAAAAAAAAATAAAGAAAAAAAAAAAAATAGGAAACAAGCTTGGGAAAAATTATATACGTATTTTATGATAGACAGCTGTAGACTGATCTAGGATTTTTATGGTAAATAGACGGCAAGGACCGATCTAAGATTTTTTTTATGATAGGCAGCAGGGACTGACCTAAGAATTTTATGGTATTTTGTAATAGACAGCGGGGACTGATCTAATAAATTAAAGTAGACGGCGATAGGCTGATCTAGGAAATTGATGCACGGCCATAGCATTTTTGAATTATATATGGGAATAATTGATTAAAGTGAAATATTGAAATTTTGAATTGAAATATAGAATATAATTGTTGAAAAAAGTTAATTGATATATATTGAAGAAAATAGATTTTGAATTAAAAGGCAGTAGATGACCTTGTAAAAGTAATTGACGTCAAATTTTGAAAAGTTTTGAAAAAAAAAAAGAATTAATTATAGGGGCCCTAGGATAAGAATTAGTATAACATTACTAAGAATAAGTTGATAGAATAATTAAAAAAAAAAAAATAATAATAATTGTTAGTGTTTAGAAAATTAAATGGTAAAGCGCGTAAATTAAAAAATTAAAGCATTTAGAGAAAAATAAGTAAAAAGAAAAATAAGGGATAGAAAGTCGAATATTATTAAAGGGATTTACGGCGTAATTAACCGGATATTGTTTTTATAATATTCGAGCGTAGTACGAGCGCGTACGCATAAAACATCGCGGAACAGGGAGAGGGAAACTGGTGAGGAACACCGTATCGAAATTTAACACGCGTAGCATAGGCGGTCGAACGTTTTCCGTGTTATTAGTAGGTACTCATCCATTTCAACGTACGACGCGCGTTTACGTAATTTATTTTTATTATTTATGCATGATAGTTATCATTACACCTAACAGCGCATCCTCTCGGTCGTTGCATGCGTACAGCTTTGGGTGACACGTCCTCTTAATTAGAATGGCACTGTTAACTTGGAGGTACAATGGTGTGCGTTTGTCAATCCTAAGTTCTTTCCAATCTAGTAAAATGACTCAAAGATTACATATACCTTGGCACTATTCAGTTAAATAAAACCTCATTAACACATAGTAAGTATATCCCGGCGCTGCTCCTATTAAAGGTAAGAACTTAAGAATGACTTAAATAATTGTAACTCGGGTTTTCAAGTCGGAAACACTTTTATTATATTTAAATAACAAACACAAAATAAAATATACTTGGCGAATTCAGATCGCCTAGCCCGTACTACGATCGACGTTTCACACGTACGACCACAGTACCTACGTCCTCGCCGATTCACTCAGCGACAAAGGGACTCCTCCTCGTGCCTGCGAGTGCGGCGGT